GCACCGTCGAGGTGATCATCGTGTCGAGGAAAGTGTTCAGATGCTTTAGTGATAGCGCATTGTGTAGCGTCTCGAGCGGCCGAACTGTGGGAGCTCCTGCTAGGGGAAAATACGCGGTGATTAGCATTAGTGGCAAGCAGACTTCATCACTAAATGAGGAAAGGTCATTCGACGAACCTGGAATATCCACTACCAGATTGTCTTGCAGGTTAGGTGCACTACTGGAGCCGCTGATAACGGCTGTGCTAAAGAGACTGTTACTAGAGCCTGTAGGAAAACAGTAAGAGGTAATGTGTTAGCAGGACAAGTGTGCCCCAGTGAGTGTGCTTCACAGAAAAGCGAACCGAATTGGCGAAACTCGGCAAAGTTGAATAGACGCAGTAGTTGGCCGGGAACTGAATGTCGGTGGTTCTTTTGCCGCACTGCAATGCAATTTAGATTACATAAAGTGGAATCATTACAAAACAGGAGACTTGCCTTGGCAGCCTGGCTTATTACAGCAGCCTGAAACGTCGTTCCAGCTGAGGGTGATGGTGTTGTCGGGACTCTTCAGGTGCTCCAACTTCTCCAGCTTGTCGCTTTCCAGACTGTGGGCACGTTCGGTGGCGATTGAGTTACTGCGAACTATAGATGTTGTGGGAGAGATGAGAGTCTCCTTGGTATTACTCGAAACTACAGGGAAGAGGAAGAGAAATGGAGAAAAAGAAGGTGGCATTAGAGTGAACGAAGCAGTTTAGATGATGCATTATCGAGCACGAGCGAGAAAGTTACTTTTGCGATCTTTGCAAGTGGAGATGGTAATTGGAATTGGCTCTGACTTGGGTGTCTCCGGCTTACTGCTTGGACTGCCCTTTTCCGAGCTGGAAAAGCCTAACGGGCTCTCAGGCTCCTCGAGAATGGTGGGAGAGTCCTAGTGGTGGAAACAAAGCAGAACTGGGCGTCAGACTGGTGGGGAGCGATATTAGACAAACACACACACACACACACACTAACACAACAAACAGCAAGCTGACCGAAAGGACAGTGAAAGAGTCAACTGAAGCAGAGAAGGGCTTTAGAGAAAGGCATGCAACTAGGAAACGATGGAGAAAAAACAAAGAAGAGAGACATTTTGGCAAATGTGAACTCACGGGTGAACTACACAGCGTGGTCTCCACACTCTTAGAAGCGAGGCTAAAATGGGGACTTTTCTTGCAAGTGATCACTTTGGGAGAGGGTTGCTGAGAAGGCTGAGAAGGCAGTGACTGTTGCGTCTGCTGCTGCTGTTGCTGCTGTGCTAAAAAAACGTCGCTAGGGCTATTCGATTCAGCGTCGTCTTCGACGGACATGTCGGAAAAATCGCCCACCTCCTCCTCTTTAATTGAGCTAGGTTTAGGCAGGGACGAACTCAAGAGGACCTTGTCCACGCTCTTAGAAGCCCCAAAGTGTTTCTGAAGAATGAAGGCCAGACAAGGTAAAGGTGGTAGCGGCAGCAAAAAATCAGGGGAGAAAGAGAAAGCAAATTAGGGTTATCAGATTAGCCAGCGGTGGTGAAAGCGAAATTATTGGTTAGATTGTTGCAATTGGCAGGAGGTGATGGCAATGGTAATGACCGGGTGGTGAGTGTATGCTGCTTGGGTTGTTGCTGCAAAAAGCACCAGTGTACTGCAGCTACCAAAGTTACCTTTGCGTGGACTGTCCTCGCTGTTTGAGTCCGAAAGCCAGGACCAATTGGGCCTAGGTTCTTCTGCAGGCAGCAGGCAACACCGGGACTAAAGTGCAACTCAACGTGGAAGCGGTCATCAGAGGTAGGGTCCTTTGTCTGGTCTTCGTACAGCATAATGACGACTGTTTTGTTTTGGGGAGAGAGAAGTTAGCTTGGCTAGTTAGCAGTTAGTTGACCAGTATTTCTTTTACATACTTTGTGTCAGGTAGTTTAGTTCGCTGATCGCACTGATATAGTCCATGGCGCGCTTCCACTGCTCGTCTTTCGCACCGTCAAAAAGTCCCCCTGAAATAGTTTTTGGTGATGCATTTTTGTTGTGGACAAAAGATTAACAAAAATCCTACCTAAACGAATCACATTGAGCAGCGAGTGAATGTGACTTTCACTGGTAAAGTAGAGGCGCGTCCGAACATGCCGACCGGGAGAGGAGACGCCGTGTGAATATTGCGGATTGAGACGATTCACACTTTCCGTCTCATTGCTCTCATCCGACTCGTTCATATTGCTAAGCAGGTCCACTTTGATCTTCTTCAGCAGTGGCGTGCAAATGCCCAAACCAATGGTAAGCTTTTCGTGCTCATCAGAGCCGTACTCCTGCGGAATGACAATGTCGGCCAGTGACTTGGCGTACGTGTAAAACTCCTGCGACTCGGCAAACTGTAGAATGTGCTGGTTGTGCTGCAAGTCGTACTTGATGCAGTCGTAAATGTCGGGTATTTTGCTGATGTCGTACTTTCCATTCTTCAACTTGAAGTCCTTCTCCAGCTTCGCCCACCGACGTTGCATCAAGTCCCACGTCTCGCCGTAGTAGAGGTGCGAGTCGTGCAGGTGAATATCACTGCGGCGTGTTTTTATAAGTCCGTTCAACTTCTGAATGTAACTATGAACTAAATCACAAGCTTCAACTGGGTTCTTTACAAAGTTGATTGCATTTTGAATAGACGGAGCCTTCATTGGATTCAACTTGATTATGTCCGCCTCCTGAAACTCCCTATTCAACTGCATTAGCTCGTGAATTTTGTGCTTGACAGTGTTTTGAAATTTGCTCGAGTCGCAATCATTGTCAAGCAAACCGTTGGTGTTGGCACTCTTAACCATTTGCACTAAAATGGGCGTCAGTTCACCCTCCAGCGCTAAAAGACCCTGCAATAGTAAAGTGTATAACGTCAGCGTCTGTAGCCGGTACAAACTCGAATCGCAAACCTTTGCAAACGCCGCCGCCGTCATTTGCACTCTCCCTGGAAAGACAGACCAATTAGCATGCACGACGGCAACCTGATAAAATGAAAATACCTTCATCTGAAGCGTATATTTTGAGGTCATGGCGAAAGGTGCTGTGTAGTCGTAGCAGTCCAAGGCCCTGGTTCCCTGCATAGTCGCCTTAGAAAGAGTCACTTCGAAAGAGCACGAAACACATAGAACAGGAGACAACAAGTACTACATACCATGACCGCCGGGGTACATCTGCCGGAAAGCTCTTCCCATTTCCTCCGCCTGAATGCGCCCACGTGGCGTCAGCTCACCACCCCACTTTACAATGCAAAGTAAGGATGGCTCACGAGGGTTCTCTGCAATGGAAAAACAATGCATAAGACAATGAAAAACAACAATGTACAAATACCTTCTTCACTGCTGGAGCGACGAGGACGACCTTTGGGCTGATACTTTAGCTGAACTTTTCGATTGATACCTGAAAAGTGGCCGTACATCTCGAGGACTGACTTGAGTTGCTCCAACTTGGCGCGATTCTCCTCAATCTCCGGATCGTGATTTTGGTCAATTTCAGTGAGCAGGTACCGGGCAATGTCCAGTATCTCCTGCAACTGCTTAGGCTTCTTCAACTTCACGTGCAGCTGATTGTCCTTGAATCCGCCCAACTTTTCGAAAATTTCAAAGAACTTGGGATGCTTCACTTCCATCTTCATCTTCTGCTTGGGCGTGCGGTCGCCGTGACGGATGATGGCGGTAACGCAGCGAAGCTCCATCATCTTTGTCGAACAAAAACAGTATTTAGTGTTAGCGGTAAAAGTTGACGACACTTGTCGTATGTTTTCTACAACATCTTTTACGCGTCAATCCCTCTTATCTCAAAACTATTTCGTCTAAAGTCACCTAATCAAAACTAGACCCTATCAAAAGTTACTCACCTTCCCAAATGTGGTCGGCATGATGGGCGGATCGTCTAGTTGAAAAGGAATGAGCCAGGGAATGTGCAACTGCGGTGCCAGATTGCGCAGTATCATGTTGCCAAGAATGCGAGCCGCATCGTCGTAGTACTTCATGGAGTTCTTCACAAAGCTGAAGCCGTTGACGTCACAGACAAAGGACTTGCCATTGGCGCGAAGCAGGTCAAAGCCGCAGACGGTCTGCTTGAACGCTAGGCACACATTTCTGGCGATTAACTTTTCGGCATTGCTTAGCATGACGGGATAGCGCACCTCCTTGCCCTCCTTGTCGCGCTCCACCTTCCCGTCCAGCGCCGGCGACTTGCGCGCCTCGGCGTGGGCGTAGTCCGGCCCGACGGTGTACACCTTCACGTCGGTGCCGTCGGTGGGCATAAACTCCTCGTAGATGTACGAGCCCGTCTTGCGAACCTGCGTCTCCGAGGAGTAGACGCTGCTGCGGGAGCCGATTTTGCGAAACAATCGCTG